GCCATTTTTCTGGTTGTCTGATGTACTTCTACTGTTGTGTCTGGTATTATTGTGGAGAGTTCTTTTTCCATTATATCAATTTTTTCTGGAGCCTGTGTTTTGTCGTCTTTAATTGATTTGCCATCTGTTGAATGCTTTTGTGTAAATCCGTCAATAACATCTGTTTCTGTTGTTGGTTTGTGCTCTTTACTTGGAATTGGTGTTGGTTTAAATGTGCTTATAAAACCTGATACTTTATCTGATGTTACCTTTCCTTCAATTCCAGAACCAATTTCAACAACTTGTCCTTCTGATACAACATCAGTGAGTTGCAGTGTAGTAGAAGCATTGACTAACTCTTGCGACATGGTTACTTTGCTTAAAGAAATGGTGGTATGAGCAATACTATCTGACGTCGTCAATTCCAATGTCTCTTTATCTGTTTTCATCACAGCTACAGGTTCACTGGTTGTCGTCTGAACTACGTTGGGTTGTTGCATTGGTGTAACTGATTGTGTCGCTGCACTCATTTTTCCTCCTCCTACTGTAGGGTCACTAGTCGTTGCTAAATCAGTTGGTTTTACAGATGGAGAAACAGATTGTTCATCCAGATCAGTTTTAATTGGCATTGGTGTTGTTTGCTTAGCATGAATAACTTCAACAATCGGTGTTGATTTTTCTGCCATTTTTGTGGTTGTCTGATGTACTTCTACTGTTGTGTCTGGTATTATTGTGGTGAGTCCTTTATCCGATATATCAATTTCTTCCGGAGCCTGTGTTTTGTCGTCTTTAACTGATTTGCCATCTGTTAGATGCTTCTGTGTAAATCTATCAATAACATCTGCTTCTGGTGTGGGTTTGTGCTCATTACTTGGAATTGGTGTTGGTTTAAATGTGCTTATAAAACCTGATAATTTATCTGATGTTTCATTTCCTTTAACTCCCGAACCAATTTCAACATCTTGTTTCTTTGATACAATATGAGTGACTTGCGGCGTAGTAGAAGCATCGACAAAAGCTGAAGATTCTGGTTTCAAAGATGTTACTAATTTTTCTACACCATCAGACTTTTGTTGTACTGTGATGGCCTTAGCAGCAGTTGATGGTATTTCAACAGGTCTTACAGTGGTTGAAAAAACATCAACTACTGGCATAGGCTTGTGAGATTTTAATTTATCTTCAGTTGTTGTTGATATAATCGTTTTGCTAACACCAGAAGTTAATTCATTATTTAAGTCTTTTGACATTGTGACTTTGCTGAAAGAAATAGTGGTATCAGCAATACTGTCTGTGGTCGTCAATTCTAATGTCTCCTTTTTTGTTTTAATCACATCTCCAGATTCACCGGTCGTCATCATCTGCAAATCATTCGGTGTAAATTGTGGTGTTGTTGCAACAATATTTCCTCCTTCCATTGTAAAACTAGCAGAATTTACGTATGTGGAAGTTGATTGTTTTTCCAAATCAATTGGCATTGAAATTGCTGTCTTTGGATTAATAATTTCAGCACTTGGTGTTGGCTGCGTTATATCTATTTTGGTGTGTGATTTTAATGTGGTTAGTTTTTCATGCACTTCCTCAATGTCTTCTGGAGCTTGTGTTTTCGAAATATCCACTTTTGAAGCCACTGTTGTAGAGCCTGCTCCAGGAATTGGTGGAGTTTGTTGTTTTGCTGTTATTAAGTATTTATCTTTAATTGATTTGGTACCTGTTGGATGTGTTTGCGTAAAACTTTCGCCAATAGAAGATTTTTGTGTAGGATCCTGCTCTTGATAAGAAATCGGTGTTTGTGTGAACGTTCTCATAAAACCTGATATTTTGTCTGATGTTACCATTTCATCAACTCCAGAACCAAATTCACCATCTTGTGTTTTTGATACAATATCAGTATGCTGCTCTGTAGTAAACACATTTATATCTGCTGTAATTTGTGCTTTCAAAGATGTTGCAATTTGTTCTACAATATCGGGCTGTTGATCCACAGTGACAGACTTTGCTGTTGTAGATGCCACTCCATCAGATCTTGAAGTTGGTGTCACTGAATGTGTTGTTGCAACCATATTTTCCCCTACTGTGGCACTGGTCATTCCTTGAGATGTGGAAGTAGATTGTTCTTCTAAATCAGTGTCATTTGGCATTAGTGTTGTTAGAATATCTTCAATGATTTCAACAATAGGTGTAGTTTTTATAGCCAACTTTGTTTTTGTCTGCTGTATTTCTACTTCTGTGTCTGGTGTGGTGAGTTCTTCGTGCATTACGGCAGTATTTTTTGAGGCCTGTGTTTTTGAAACATTGTATGTAAAATCCCCTATTACCGAATCTGCTTTTGGAATTGATGAAGTTTTTTGTGTTGCTGATATTAAGCCATCATCTTTTATTGATTTAGTACCTGTTGGATGTTCATGAGTGTAATTCTTGCCAATATGTGATTCCTCTGTAGGTTCCTGCTCTTCTTGGGGAATTGGTGTTTGTTTAAATGTGCTCATAAAACCTGATACTTTGTTTGATGTTATCATTTCTCCAGAACCAGTTTCCCCACTAACTTCATTTGATACAATATCAGTGATCTGTGGTGTAGTAAAAACATCAGGAACAGTTGTAATTTCCGGTTTCAATGATGTTACAAATTGTTTTCCAATACCAGTCTCTTGATCAACACTGACAAATTTAGCAGTTGTTGATACTACTTCAACAGGCCTTGAGGTTGTTGAGAAAACTGGTGGAGGCTTAGACTGTATTTTTGATTCACTAGTTGTCAATATGAACGTTTTGTTAACAGTGGAACTAATTACAGGAACTAGCTCTTCAGACATGGTTACTGTACTTAAAGAAACCGTGGCATTAACAGTGCTATCTGAGGTTAGCAATTCCATTATAATTGGTGAAGGTGTTCCTTTTCCTGTTATTCCTCTTGTACCAGCTGGTTGTGTAGGTGGAGGTACGGGAGTTGGAGGAAGCGATTTGCGTACTGAAGAGTCCGGTTCTCCTGTTTGATCAGTTCCTATTGTTATACTATCTGTAAATTGATGACTAGTCTTTTGAGAGGACTCTAAGATTTCCGGAGTTGTTGGTGACAACTTTTCTGTTTCCTTTCCTACTTGTGGTGTTGGCTTTTGTGTGACCTTTTGTCTCTCTATTGTAGTACCTTGAAATATGTTTGGATCCATTGTATTTTCATTAGTAACATCCAATGCGTCAAATGTTGGTATTGGCTTTACTGTTTCAAGTGTTTCTAGTGTTTGTTTTTTTGTCTCTTGTTTTTTTTCTATAGTTGTGTCTGGAATTTTTGTTGGTCTGATCGTTCCTTGCTTATCAACAAAAACTTTGCTCGTCATTGGTGTTGGATGTATTTCTTGTGTTTTTTGTGTAACTTGCCATTCCTCATCTGTAGTTGGTTTTGGCTCTATTGTTTTCAACTCTATTTCTGGTGACTTCTGTATGATTTTTCGTTCCGCTGTTGTTTTGTCTGGAATAACTATTGTTATTGTTTCTTCCTCATCAACAATTACTTTGTCTTTTGTAAGTGTTGGTTCTGTTGTCTTTGGCCTTGTTTCTAGTTTTTGTGTGACTTGTTCCTCTTCTATGGTTTTGTCTGGCGTTACCGTAGGTTTAATTGTTTCTTCCTCATCAATTACTTTGTCTGTTGTTGCTATTGGCAATCTTGTCATCGGCCTTATTTCTGGTGTTTTTTGTGTAACTTGTACTTCCTCGGTTGTTAAGTCTGGAATTGCTGTTGATTCAATTTTTTTTTTTTCATCAACAATTACTTTGTCTGCTGTTAGTGTTGGCTCTATTGTCTTTGGTCCTATTTTTATTGTTTCTTGTGTTACTTGTTCTTCCTCCGTTGTTGAGTCTGGAATTGCTGTTGGTTTAATCGTTCCTTCGTCATCGACAATTACTTTGTCTGTTGTTGGCTCCTTTGTTGTTGGCCCGATTTTTGGTATTTTTTGTGTCGCTTGTTCTTCCTCTGTTGTTAAGTGGGAAAATGCTGTTGGTGTAATTGTTACTTTGTCATCAACAATTACTTTGTCTGTTGTTGGTGTTGGCTCTATCGTCGTCAGCCCGATTTCTGGTGTTTTTTTTGTTACTTTTTCCTCCTCTGTTGTTGAGTCTGAAATTGCTGTTGGCTTAATCGTTATTTTTTCATCAACAACTACTTTGTCTGAAGTTGCTTTTGGCTCTATTGTCTTTGGAACTATTTCTGGTGATAATTCTGTTACTTGTTCATCCTCTGTTGTTGACTCTGAAACTGCTGTTGGTTTAATCGTTATTTTTTCATCAACAACTACTTTGTCTGTAGTTACTTTTGGCTTTATTGTTTTTGGAACTATTTCTGGTGATTTCTGTATGACTTTTCGTTCCTCTGTTGTAGTGTCTAGAATTTGTGTTGGTTCAATTGTGTCTGACACTTCTATATGTGGTGTTAGCTTGTTGGTAACTAGTGTTTGCTGAATTGTCCTTGATATCTGAGTTGTTTGAAATGTCTCTCCTTTAATTTTGACATGTGATGTCATTTCTTGTGTAGGTTTGATTGTGTTTGTTCGTCCATCCAACCGAGTTACACCACCCTTTTCTTGTAAATCATGCGTACTCATTGGAAATGTGGTCAATTTTGACTTAGGTGGGACTTCAACTGTATATGAAATATAAAGAAAATCAATCAATTAGTTAGTTCAGTATAATAAATTGCTATAAATAATTTAAAAAAACTAATTATTATAAAAAAATAAATTCAATCATATCTTACTTAGCTAAATGCAGCGCTTAATAACTAGACTTAAAGAACATTCTTAATGATCTGATAGTGTTATAAATGATCATATACAAAATTGTGAGGCATTGCAATATGTTTAAGGAAACTACTTAGGGATTGCTGTACTAAAACAGTATTTACATGTAATAATGAATTCTATAAACAAACTTACAGCGTTTCAATGGGCTCACCCCTTGGACAGTTTTAGCCAATAATTAATGACTGAACTAGAAGAGTCTATTGTTCCTAAATTTATTGAATCAGGTATTACTGTATTAAGTTTTATACTTGTTTTGTTGACAACACACTAGTGCTAGCTAAACCTAATGATTTTCATCACATCCTACGTCATTTTAACGCTTTTCATAAACAGATTAATTTTACTTTTGAACCATTTGAAAACAGTGATATAGTACATTTTCTGGATTTACAATTTCACAACAGCGTAGGAAGCATGAGTATATATCGTAAAAATACACATATATATATAGCAAACTCTTAAAGTTTTTTTCAATTTGCCTATCAAATAACGTTATTTTCATGGCCAATCCATATGTGATCTAAAATCACAATTTTGGGCCATAAAAAAGACTCTCTCCCCATGTCATGAACTACAATGGATTTTTCCGGTACAATGGCCGGAGGCTCTTGTCAGCTCGGACTAATGATTTTTAATAATTTCTGTCAAATTTTGGCTGAAAACAGATTCAATTGGCTTAAAAATATGTTAGAGCATGGTTAGAGTGAGCCCAACCTCAAAAAATGATCTTTTTCTGTGAAAAAAAATGTAAAATCTCAGTTTTTTGTGAAAAAACGATTTACAAACAGCATTGACCGTTAGCTTCTGAGATGAGGTCTGTATAATTAATTGTAAATTTTACTTACAGTAATAGTATATTATAATGTAATAAACATCAAATTATTAAACCAATGTCATCTTGCTGGTTTTTATCGTTAATTATATGTCGGACCGAAAAAAAATATAGGACAAGTATAACTTTGGAAGAGCCAGTATCATTTTTTTTTCTTACTGGCCCTGCTGGCCACTATGATTTGGAGGTTATTTTTCAGCCCTGCATTATTATTGTAATGAGGACCTTGCATCTGTGAGGTTTAACCTATATTTTAATACTAAAAAAATTAATTAAATAGCACTACTGTAATTATACAAACATTAATCCAACATAATTAATGCAGTTAAATCTATGTGTTATGTGGCCATTTTGTAAAACAGGGTGAGAATTCCAGATGGACATAAATCAATGCAAATTCTGCAATATAGGTCTACTCAAGCAAGCTTCTCACCAGGATATCAAGAGTGCCGGTCAGTGAACACGCCTCCCTTTCCTGGGGCTTCTAAGTTTCCCCGGGGGGTCATAGTCAAAATGGAGGCTAAAAATCTCATATTAGCAACGCCATTTTTTAGATATAACCAGCATTTGTGATGTATAGCTTATTATTTATCAACATATAGATGGAACCAGGTTGGGACTGTGGGCTTACCTTTGATAGTACATTCACCATTGTATAATGTTCTTACAGCACCATGAGCATAATTTCCATCCAGACAATTTTCATATTGCATTATACAGCTGTTATCATATGTTCGAGAGTCTATACCACAAACTGGTTCATAAGTGTACATCTCACAGCGAAGTTTCCTACACTTTCTCCTCTTTCCTTACAAGAAAATAGGATATTTTTAGACATAAAACTTTTGAAATTAATTTTGTATTGATAAAAATTACTTTCTAAATTATTTTAGAGAATGATCTGATTATAGACATAGTATTCATTTTAAATATAAAAAAAAAAAATTATTTTGTATATATGTCAATAATGTATATAATAATATATTTTAATAATGTATATATTGCTTTAATTTTACCAATTTTAATATTTCATTGATCTTACGATTGTATTTTGGTACATCAATGTTGGCATAAATTGTAAATTTTTAAATCATTGCACATTTCGCTTTCACTGCATACTGTATGTATCCTTGAATATAAATATCAACTTAATCATTACAGGCAATTACATTCTATATATCCATTTGGTCATTACAAAATTCATCATATGTAGTTCCTTTTTTCTGGGCTACTTACTCACCTTATGAAGGTGATTGCAAGGTGGTCATGTTTGTATTTTCACTCCGTTAGAATGGATAACGTATGGCTACTTACGATGGTCAGTACCGCACGGTCCGTAAGAAAATCGACGTAATGATGGATTATTTGATTGGCATGCGGCTACATTGATTACAGCTTGATTGAGGTAAGTCCGCCCATCTGTAGCACACATCGGTCTGTAGTCCATTCTAAATGTGAGGGCGCATCGACTGAGGATACCTACGGAAGTTATTTTATACTACTATAAGTACTATAAGTAAATGTTAAGTGAATGTAGTTAAGCCCAACCTTGCCTTGAAATCTAGACTCAGAAACACCGGGCTGGCTTCCGGCGAGGTATATTTTCCCACCATAGTTTAAAACTTAAGCAAAGCGTGTAAAGGGATCTGTGATACATTAGACGCTACATAAATCCTGTTTTATTATTATTATTATTTAATTATATTAATATTTAAAAATTGATTATTTAATAGATTAGCTATTTTGAGCCCCAAAATTATATAACAGCACTACACACAAGGGTTCACTAGGAATAGGAAAACAAATTCTGTGCATTTGTCAAGACAGGTTCTTTCTGGTTCTTTTTAGTTCTTACCTGTACCAGGACAGAAGCCATCACATAGCTTTTTTAGTGATGGCTTATGTTCACATGCTTCCTTTTTTAACATGCATTCGTTGTCATATACAACATAATCTGTCCCACAGACAGGTACCATCATAGATGAACAACCTCGCGGACAAACAACGACATCTGTAGATTAAAAAGAATTCATATGTACAATTCAAAATTTATGAGCAAATGTAAAATATTGATTTTGTAAGTTTGAAATATTAAGCTATTATGTTATAGTTTGTTATGTTATTGATTGCATATACTTACTGTAAGTTATGTTGTAGACAAATAAATATTTAAATGAAATATAAAGAATACAATTTAATGCTCAACTTATAGAAGACCAACATTTGCTTAAAGTGTTTCATTTCATTTATTTGGTCCAAAGGACAATAAAACTGACAAGCACAAAGAAACAGAGAGGAAAAAAACACTAGACAGGATTGCTAAAAGGTGCATTTAATCACTGTCTAATGGCTCTCCGATACCAATGAGAACATATATTAGCATAAAATAGTAAAGTAAAAATATCATTAACATATATTAGCATAAAATAGTCATAACTCCTCTACTCAAAGCTTTAAAAACAAAATTTAATAATAACTCATCTATGTTGGTGGGTAACTGTAAAATATTTTAAGCTAACAAACCTGGAATAGCTGAAGGTCTGCATTTTCCTACGTGTTTGACACGTATCCGTTGTTGGCGCTTGCAGGCGTACACAAGCATGATACATTCGCTGTGATATGTTTCTCCATCTGAGCCACAGACCGGAGCATAGTAGCGATGACATCTACGACTGCAAGGGTCACTTTCTGGGTGAAAATAAAATCAAGCTTTTATATTTTATATTGAAACCATGTAACCTCGACAGGAAGTGAATACAGCACCATGAGATTAAAAAGCAAGCATCTTGCATACAGTAGCTAAAACTCCACTCCATATAATATTCACCATCAAAATAAAAATACTTTCTTGTTCTAACTTTCAATAGCAGATACTCTTATACGTAAGTTAAGTAAGCAATAACAATATTAAATTTTAAAGGTTGTTATTTATATTTCAATAAAAAAATTAAATATTTTATGAATAAAAAGTAATTATATCTTACCATCAAAATCATATGGATTGAAAGCAGTGGTGAACTTTAGTAATACAAGTAGAATCAATATAAAAATGAACTCCTATTAAATAGAAAGAAACATATTCAGATATAACATTGAAAATGTAGTGCTAGCGCCCTCAACTCATAATAAACTTTTGACCAATCAATTGGTTGCTTGTTAATGGAAGCCACAGATAAAGTCGGAAGTCAAACAACCTTGTATGACCTTTTCAATTACATCAATGTCTGGTACTGGAATTTAGGTCAATATTATAGAAATCTTACGTTCTGTTATTATATACAAAACACATTGTCTCTCCTTTTAGCTGCCAACATATACTGTATATACATTAGATTTTTTTTTCTATAAATATTTTTTTTAAAAACTTATTTTTTGTATATTTTAGTTATATTTACCGTAAATGCTTGAATAAGGGTCGCTCTCGAATAAGCGCCGCACCGAACATGATTTTTTGTTAAACGCTGCTCTCGAATAAGTGCTGCTGTGCTTAATCAAGAGAATATAAACACTTGTGTGTAATGAAACAGGGTTTTAAATACAATGTATACAGTGTTAAAATGAACACAATGAAGACACAAGCATTTCTTTATAATTGTATATTTATGATGACGTAGGACCTATGAAGAACAGGAATACATGAAATAGGTAACGTGTGATGGGCATGGAAAGCGCCAAGCCAATAAATATTATAAGCGCCATTCTTGAATAAGCATCGCACTGAAGCCTCCAAAAATGTTACAAGCACTGCGATGCTTATTCGAAAATTTACGGTACTGGTATGTACCAGGGCTTAATTGGAAAGCAGTGTTAGTCACTGAATGGTCACACTGTGGTTAAAGAAAGCTTAAACAAATAAATTATCAGTACTGTTTAAAATTTTAATCCAATCAATAATATACATTGTCTTTTTATTATGCTAAATTATCAAGTTCATTAATGAAGCAGATAGACCAAAATAGTTACAATACCGCCGTGAATTATCGCTTCGTATTTGCGCGTAACCACTGGTAACATGCTCATAGGTACCATTTTGAATGTAGCTACGAACCCCTGCGAAGGTCATTGTTATTTAATTAGCTTTGCAATGATTCTGGGTTGATAAGGAATGCGTAAACAATATTAAGTTTACTAGCTTTCAACCCCCTTTCAACACATGAGCAATGTTGCAATTAAATAATAAACAATGTTAGAACTTTACTGTTCATTATTTCCTACCTTAGATCGATCATGTTTTAAAACCGTGGTTAGCTACAGTACCTAGTCCTAGGCCTACAGAGCGGTTAGCAGGGGCGCCGCAAGCTATAGCCATAATATCGGCGCTGGTTCGAAGGACTGTAAAACATATGCCCACTGTATACAATGGCTTGTGTGCACTATAAAGAACCCAGTACATCTTCCGAGACGAGCAGGGAATACCCCGGTGTACTAGAACAGACAGCCCCTGTGGTGGACAACGAGAGTTGCTGGTACCGGGTAGCACAGACACGAAGGGACCCTTAGGGGCGAAGAAAGTCATTGATCGAGTTCCTAGTCCACATATCAAGCGCCCTGAGCATCTTACATTAGATGGATAAGTGCACTATATAAAACTACACTATTAACAGTATGTTCGACTTTGGATGTCATTTACGACCTACATTTTCCCCTAAGAGGAAGAGAGCAGACAGTAATTATACTGGTTAACTTCCAATTCGGAGTATTTTGATCTGGTGTTATTGTGCTGGCAGTAGGCATTTTCTTCTTTTAAAAATATCGATGACAAATCAAGTACAAATTATTAAGAATTCTACATTAAAAGATCACGTTGTGTTTGTTTACCGTAATGAGCAGAACTTGCAAAGCGATCCAATACCTATGAAATTATAGAAATCACTATCTTGCCTAATTAAGGCTAGTCATGCTGGACCGCATTTCCTTTGTTTTTTACTCACTGTCACCCACAGCTTTTTAACATTTGCCACGAGGTTAAACTTTAACATACTTACCTGTGTTCTGATTGGCGTACACGCTGCCTGCTGCTGGATTTGGGTTTGACAACATGAACTGGCAATTAAATAAGTTTTATTTTCCATTGGGTTTTTCATGCGACATTCGGTAATTTTATATTTAACGGACGTTAACTCTATTTTATATTTATTATTTATCTTATTAAATCAAGACTACAAAATATTGTTTAATGAACAATCTTTTCACATGTGTGTATTCTTATTGAGGACATCATTTTTTGACAGTTAAAAGAGGTAAAATAATTGTAAATAAAAAATAGGCTAGGCCCTAGTCTAATTAATTAAACAAATATTACTTAAATACAGGAGTACAAACAAGTTCCTGTCGTCGACAGCGAGTGGAATGGGAAACTCTGATCAAATCTGGTGTACATTTTTTTTATTGAAAAAACAGCTCCATACTTTAAATTAACAGTCTGAACTTGTGCTTGTCATTCACAAATGACCCAAGAATACATTGTTTATTCCAGTAAACTACAGCAGTCTTTCTGCACATACAAAAAAACAACACACTTTTGCTTTATAGCCTATAGGTTTGCTTCGTAGCCTTGCTTAGATTGTTTATATCAGACTACGAAGTAGCAACGAAGTGTGCGCAGGAAAAATTGCAATACTGTACTGTACTTTCTGGCAGTACTGTAGATTATCACTTTCTTTAATTGGAAGAGGCTTTTGTTTATTTATTTCAAATACAGGGTAGAAAAATGTCAAGCATTTGTTGGTTGGAAGTGGATATTCACACACTCCTTGTGGATCAGTGCACAACAGATACAAATGGATGTTTCATATTAAAGAAAAAAATCTAGTTTGTAGATAGAACAATCGAACTTGAATGCTATTGTAGTGAATGGGCCGTGGACTTGATTAATAGAAGTACAGAGCCTCTCTAATGTACTCAACATGATGCCAATTCTTGATTACTGACACTATCTAGGATGGTTTGGATAGTCTAGCATCCTATGGGGGGGGGGCCATCGGGGAAGGCTGCCCCCCCCCCCACAACCCTTGTTAGGAAGAAAAACCACAATTAGGCGGAAAAAAAATTATACATACTATTAGTAGACTTTATCTATCTATAAAATCAATTAAATAAACCCATAAACTGTCCTATTACTCGGGAGCTTCACTTTTCACTTTTCAAACATTTTGAGCGACGATATTTGACGATTGCATTAACTAGGTAGGCCTATATTATTAACATTCATAGAGGATAACATTAAAAACGATATGTTACCGTTATTCTATTAACATTTTCAAATGCTAGTGAGAGATACACTGGTGAGTATTAAACACTCTCTTCTCTAGACTAGTATTTAGGCCTAGCTGGGTGTACATTTTCAATAAATTTTCCTTGGCCATCCATGCTTGTATGTATATTTGAGGTACTGTGACTCTACTAAATAGGCTATACGTACAATTCCCATGCTTTTATTAATCACCTACCCTTAACCATCAATTTCAAGTATGGAACAAAACTATTTTTAAGGCCAAATGCCGATGTGACTGCCACTCCGCGTGCGTAGGCGTAGGCCTAGCACTGCATAGGCCGGGTAGCCTAGACCTAGGGCCGCTAGCCTAGGCTAGGCCTACTTACTCGATGGTATGAATGAGCCTCTAGGGCCTAGGCCTACACCGTCTTCTTCAGTCTTTATTTATAATAGGCCTAGGCCTATCTCATAAATTTTTTTTTCAAATTCCTGCCTATAGTCACTAGCCTAGGCCTATGAGTGTCTCAGTTTTGGACATATATTTACCTGATTTCTTTATATTTAATAATTTTGCTGAGACCAGGCTCAGACAAATTTCTGAAGAAATCTTCTCAAACTTAACGAGCGCGCCTACTCGATCGTCAACCTTGACACGTACGTATCAGAGCTAGCTGCTGGAGCTCTACTCCTGTAGATCGTACTGTGACCTCTCGGTGGCGTACCAGGCTTCTGATTGGTCAAAAAGTTATATGGCCTTTCCCTTAGTTGTTTTGAAGTTTTGTTTTGAAAGTTGTGACTTGTATATAGGGTCTGTGCTTAAATAATAGGTGTACTGTACTAAGATTTCCAAAGGATTAATTTACATTACCAGCATTCACTATGAAGGTGTTGTAGATTTTTTTTTTGGAATGTTTCAAAAGGCTTACCATCAAATGTGTTTTGTTTGACATGCACCAGGAATTATTACAAGCAGGTCTACCAAGGCAATTTAACAAATTTAATTGCCTTGGGTCTACTGTACCCAATGAAACACAGATATTAGTTACTTAAGCTGAAACAGCATGGCATATATGTGGCCCGTTACTTTCTTGGTTTCGTAGTTATTTATATGGAAGGCAGCAGAGAGCGGTTCTTGATGGCATGTCTTCGAATTGGTTGCCGGTTAACTCTGGAATGTTTAATATTTATATTAATGATATTCCTTTACTTTTCAATTATTCAAAATGTTTAATGTATGTCGATGATCTTAAAATTTATAAAATCGTTAATGATATTGAGGATGCCTAAGGACTTCAGGGAAATCTCGATAGACTGGATCAGTGGATGTTAATGAAAAATGTCTCTCCAAGCCGGCAAATGTAAAACACTATGAACTATTACACTTAAACACAATCCAATTAACTTTTCTTAAACACCCATATGGCTCTCGAAAATGTTTGCCATCAGAAAGACCTGGGTGTAATTTTTCATGTTTTTTTCCAATCCTGTAAGTGGCGATTTTTGTTTTCGCTGTTGGTTTGTTTATAAATAAATAAATTAACGAAATTAAGAACTTGAGTGCTATTTCCGAGCATATAGACGTGCAAATTTTACAACATTTTCTAACCTCAGCTCCAATCATAGTGGGGCTGAGGTTATTGGAGACTCTCACGCCGTACCAATCAATAAATGCTTCCGCCGCCCCTGTAAAAGCCTTATATCATCTGTGCTAATAATATAGGTATGATTTTCTGATGATGTATGTAGCGTCGGACATTTCTCCTTGGGCCTCTAACAAGTAACAGATGCATTAATTAGAAAATTATGATTCGTCACAGATAACCTAATAAGCAATAGTGGGTGT